CAAAAAGACACCTGCACCCCAGTGTTCATAGCAGCACTATTTACAATAGCCAAGACATGGAAACAGCCTAAATGTCCATCAACGGATGACTGGATAAAGAAGAGGTGGTATATTTATACAATGGAATACTATTCAGCCATAAAAGCCGACAACATAACGCCATTTGCAGCAACATGGATGTCCCTGGAGAATGTCATTTTAAGTGAAGTAAGCCAGAAAGAGAAAGAAAATACCATATGAGATCACTTGTATGTGGAATCTAAAAATAAATAAATAAATGCAAAACAGAAACAGACTCATAGACATAGAATACAAACTTGTGTTTGCCATGGGGGAGGGGGGTGGGAAGGGATAGACTGGGAGTTTAAAATTTGTAGATACTGACAGGCATATGTAGAATAGATAAACAAGATTATACTGTATAGCACAGGGAAATATACACAGGATCTTGTGGTAGCTCACAGCGAAAAAAATGTGACAATGAATGTATGTATGTTCATGTATAATTGAAAAATTGTGCTCTACATTGGAATTTGACACAACATTGTAAAATGACTATAACTCAATAAAAAAAAAGTTTAAAAAAATACAAGCTTGCTAGTTTTTTAAAAAGTCAAACCAATACAGAAATGTGTGACACAGACAATGGAAATCCTCTCTTATTTCTCCTGTCCTTCTCAAGATAACCAAGGGTAATAGTAAGAGATTAAAGGTATATTCTTTCAAATACGTTTCTATGCATTTAAACCCAACCACCCACCCAAATTAGAGATGACACTATATAGGTACTGATTTGCATTTAGTCTTGTCTTTTAGTGTAATCTGGACTTCTCTCCAGTACATGTAGACCTACTTTAAAAAAATGAAACGATACAAAAGTGTCTAACGTAAAAGGCTGAAGTCTTTAAAATAGTTTCTGTCCTTTAAAACAAAGCATAAGAGAGCAGAGGCCTGGTGGCAGGATCTTGACTTGACTGCGGTGTATCTGTGTTTTCAAGGCATTCAGGGAGGGGCTGCCTGCCACCCACCAAACCTGGTGAGGGGGAGGGAGACGGGCCTGAGCTGGTCTCCCTCTCACAGCGCCTGGCAGGGGCAGCATCCCGTACAGAGTACAGAGACCCAGTTCTAGGGGCTCTGGGGCGGACTACCGAGCATAGTGGTTGCCATGGTTACCGCGGGAGAGCAAGTCCCGGGTTTCAGAGAGGAGCGCCCGCAGAGAGGGGAAAAAGGGAGGGTATGGGAGAGGACAAAGGGAGGTGAGAAAGGAGAAGGGCGCGCAGGGGGTTGGGGGGTGGCCAAGGGAGGGCAGGAAAGGCCCAGAGAGCGGGGATGACAAGGGCAGAGAAGAGGGGAAGGGGGCGCCTAGGAGGCTATGTAAAGGGGAAAGCGTGGGGGCCGCCCCGAGACCCGCGGTCCCACGGCCGGCTTACCCGCGGGCCCCGCCGTCAGGCTCCGCCATCCCTCGTTGCTAGGCGACGCCGTCAACATCCGGCGGGCGAGGACCACGCGCCGGGCGTGCGAGGCGCGCGGCCTTTGTGCCATTCATGTGCACTAGAAATACGAAACACCTAACTATGCAAATATATTAAAGCATACATACGCATTTTTTTCCATCTCTATCTCTGAGTCCGAGCTCTACCCCGCCTGGCTCAGTTTCTGTAAAGCGACAACCGTGTCAACGTGCGTCCAACCCGGCAAGTCCGGCGCCCCGGGGGACCTGGACGGCTAAGTGCCCGAGGGTGGCAGGAGGAGTTGGGGCGCGAGGGTCTCTGGAGCCGGCTTCACTTTGTGGGGCCGAGACCCCCGCCTAGTGCCCACCCGTCTGCCTCCAGACCTGGGGGGCTCAGCACTCACTTCCTGGGGTTCCTGAGAAGAATCCTTGGCGGAAGAAGGATGCCCCGTGGCCTCCTGGTGGGTGTTACTCTCTTTAACAAAGTAGTAAAAACCTCAAACCTCAAAATAGTAAAAATATAAGCGCAGAGGGTGGGAGAGGGACAGCGCCCACTTGGAGCGTCCGAGGGGTCATGCCTTCACTCCAGGGGCGCGGGACAGCGAGGCCCGGAATGGAGTGGGGACGTCCGGGCCGGGGCTTGGGGTCCGAGGGCGGAAGGTGACTGGGGCAGTGCCGCAGTAGGGTTGGGCCAGGGGACTGGCCGGGAGCCGGGTTGGGACACGGGGGCGGGGCTGGCCTGGTTGGACCAGGGGCCAGGTTTGCGCGCAGTTTGGGCCGGGCTGGGTCAGGCGGCAGGCGGAGGGCCGAGCTGAGGCCGCGCTGGGGCG